TCATTACATGGATACTCACAACACTTCAGGAAATGAAGGATGTAGGGGTGGTGCGATAATGTGCACAGAGGCTTCCCCAGAGATGCTGACCTTAACTGTGAAGTTACTCACACACATTATTGCCTGCTCGAATCACCTGGGGAAATTTTGAAGGCACTATGTACCAATTCAGACCTGCTCCATTTAATCAGAATGAGTCCAGCTGCAATTCAGGATTGTTCTAAAGCTCCTTTCAGTGTCTCATGGTCAGTCTGTGATGAAATTCCATTTGGAGTAAAAACTGACTCACATACTATATAAATGTTCTTGGATATGTGTCCTGGTTGACTTAACATCTCAATGATGTTAAGCTTCATTTTGGCCAGCAGGGCAAGTGGAAGCCTATAGATCACACCAGTGTACCTCTTTGTTCCCTAATATAGAGCACATTTGCATAACTTAGACATGAAGTCACATTTGAGGAAATGGTTCTTTTTGTAAATACTTTATTTTAGCTACCTTTGAAACACTTGCTATAAATAATAAATTATATAGGTGTATGTTGCAATATTTGCCTGAAGACTTATGATTACTACGAAATTATTTTTAATTTTTTTTGTCATGGAAAAGTGATTATCTTTGTTTATAGTATAGGACTATTATTATTTAGAAAAATGAGGAATACAATGTACAGAGGAATAATAAATTCAGTCAACTGAAAACATGCATGACACTCCAACTTTTTTAAACAAATACAGTGTGATTTGTTCTTAAGCACATTGGACATATATAGAGAAATTCTCCAGAATATAAGTTTTATGTTTGGAAATGACAGGAAACTGTGTAATGATGCATAATTAAATAAAATATGTATTGTAACATCACATTGCCTAGATCTGGCCACTATGTATGGTAATAGCTAATGAAATTTTATATGTTGGAATGTGACCATATGGTACTCTTCTGACACTGGTGGATTTCTAGGTTTTGAGATGTCCTCCCTTTAAAATATGTCTTCCATTTCACCAAAAGGTAGACTCAGTAGTAAGTGTTGTACTTTTTTCTTTTACAGTGCCATTTTTGCATTATATTTTCAAATAAAGAATAGGTGAGTACTTCAGAACCTGTCTTACTCTTCCAACTAATTTGTAAAATACCTCATTAGGATTAGGTCCTGACTGAAGGCATCAAAGATTGTACTGTGCCTTTGGTAACCTACACAAGTACATCATTTCACTTTATTGTTAAGTAGGACTGCTGAATATTTTCTTTTAAGGACCCAAGAGAACATGGGCCCCTATGGATTAAATTGATGTTCACTGATTAGAAATTAAAATTGACAGTTGAATGTACATGAATCTTTGTATGCAGACATCTGTGTGCACAGCGGAGAGGTGTTCGTGCAGTGTTTCCTGAGCATGGAACTCCTGCCATTCTGAGTTAGGTTCTTCTGTGAGGTGGGCATTCTCCTATGCAGTGCAAGATGTTTCACAGGAGTACTGCCCTCTGCTTAAGAGATGCCAGTAGCTTTCTCAATTCATGTGGCGATAACCAATAATGTCCACAGTTGGAAAAGGTCATTCCTGTCAAGAACCACCTTGCTAATAGAAATAAGATATAACTAGGTTCTATAGCAATGTTACATTTCAGTTCCTAATTTGAATTATGTGAAAAAATGTGTATTTGAACGTAATGCACCCCTCACTTGACTAAAGAGAACAAAATTAGATTCTCTTGTATACTGGCTCCTGTGCAATGACTTGAAAAAATAGTAAAAAAAAAACATATTCGCAGAGAGACACTTATGTGGATACATGCACTTTTAAAATTTTGAGATACCTGTGAATAGTCTTTTAATAAACACTGCAACCCTTAATTTCTTAAATTAGGTTCAATGAGATTTTGAATGGTACTTTTGATATTATTACATTCA